GCTATAGCCAAAGACTGGGAACTCCATCAAATAGTTTTCCATAATGCTTTTCTGCACGGAGATCTTGAGGAAGTCGTGTACTTGAAACTACCACTGGGGTTCTTGGAGTCTCAAAAGGGTATGGTGTGCCGTCTTCGCAAGTCCCTTTATGGCCTTCGCCAAGCTCCTAGGTGTTGGTTTGCTAAGCTCTCAAATGCTCTTGTTCAATATGGGTTTCAATGCTCTCAGTCAGATCACTCCTTGTTCATCTTTCGAAAAGGAGATGTACAACTGGTCATGTTAGTTTATGTGGACAACCTTGTCATTGCTGGTAGTCACCGTGAGGCCATTGCAAAATTCAAAGACTATCTTCATCAATGTTTCCATATGAAGGACTTAGGTAAATTAAAAAACTTTCTTGGGGTGGAGGTTGCTCAGTCTCCTACAGGAAATTTCTTGTGCCAACGGAAGTATGCATTGGACATCATAGCTAAAGAAGGTTTGCTTGGGGGGAAACTTGTGTCGACTCCCATTGAAGAAAATCATCGTCTGGTACTAGCTGATGGTGAACTACTCTCTGACCCGAGCCAATATCGACGCCTCTTTGGGTGCCTTATTTATTGTGTTTTACATGGCCTGAATTATCCTACAGTGTTCACATCCTAGCTCAATTTATGCACCAACCACGAGAGGAGCACTGGCGCGCTGCACTACGTGTGGTACGTTATTTAAAGGGTCAACCGGGTCAGGGTGTGCTCTTAAGAAGGGAAAGTGATCTTCGTCTTTATGGTTGGTGTGACTCAAACTAGGCTAGTTGTCCTCTCATGCGACGATCTCTCACAGGTTGGTTTATTTTCCTTGGCCAGTCCACCTTTTCATGGAAAACCAAGAATCAACACATAGTTTCTCGATCCTCTGCTGAAGTAGAATATCGATCTATGGCCAACATAACCTGTAAGTTGAAATGGCTTCGAGGTCTTCTTTCGAGTCTGGGCATTACCCACTCTGAGCCCATGAATCTCTATTGTGACAACCAAGCAGCCCTTCACATTGCCAAAAATCCTGTTTTTCATAAACGGACGAAGCATATTGAAGTGGACTGTCATCTTGTTCCTGATGAAATACAACACAATCGTATTCAACCTATCTATGTGTCCAGTCACCATCAACTTGCTGACCTCTTCACCAAATCTCTTGGCGCCACTTAATATGGTTCATTTTTGGGCAAGCTGAGCATTCATAACCTCCATGCTCCATCTTGAGGGGGGGGGTGATAAGAATAAAATAAAATATAAGATTGCAACTACCGTATCATGCCATGATTGTAATTTTCATATTTATCTTAGCATGACAGCAATGTATATCAATTTGATATCTATCAGTGCACAAAATTAGGATACCAGCCGTATTAGTTGGCGTAATTCTAGCCTAGGATTTCTTCCTGTTTCATGTATATATTAGCATATCCTGATCAATATACACATAGCAGTTTCGAATACATTTTGGCACCTTCCATTATTAGTCAATGTACATTAAGCTTTTGATTGGTCTACCCTAATGGATACGATGATTTATGACATATAGGATAATTCAAATTTAACTTTTCTAAAGTAAATATCATTCTTTGACAAGAAAATCAACTTTTGATATTCCAACACATGATTTTGTTATGCATGTGTACATAATATACATAGTTGCTTTTCTTTCTTACCGATGACTAGGTTTATTTACTTTACCTTTAAAATTAGTCTGAGTTACTCATCTTTATGTACATTATTAAAGAAAGAGTTTAAAATCAAATTGATACCTTTGAGTGGTACGAGACCTTTATCAAAAAGTGTACGGTAGTGCATAGATGACAATAAGCAACAAGCACCGACGGTTTGGAAAAAGAACAATAGGAAGTGGAAGTTCTTAAGCAGCTTGTAGAGTAAAAATCATAACAAAACCAGAAAACCAAGCAAGTAACAGGAGTGGAAGAATGATTGAGTCTAGCAAGAAGGTCACTTAAGGGTGCGAGCAAGTTCTCTCTCATTGCTTTCCAAAGGGACACTATGTCTTGAGTGACATCGGCATCTTCATCTGTTATGAGAAGACCATCTGGGATGGTCTCAAAATGAAAATCTGAGAGGCCATCAAGTGCATTAGAACCCCTTGAGTTGATCAAGCATTTGTGGTTGTATTCAGTGTTGACAATGGTTATGTGAAAGCCTCTCAGGTGAAACAGCTTTGCTAGCTTGAACAATGGGTTGATATGGCTTTGAAGCGGAAAATGGGGTCAACACTACATGCGGTTTTCTCTCTAAAGAGTTATTCATCTCCATTTTTCCTTCTTGTGTGGAGTATTAAGAGTGTCACAGGAGGTTGAGATATAATAACGGAGAATCATTTACTTTTTTACTGTGATAAAAATAGTATCACTGTACACAGTGAAACCAAGTTTAACTATGCCATCTTATTGATTTGCGGTGCTGAGTGTATCTTTGTGTCATTATCTCACTATTTGTATTAGTTCCTGTGGCAACTACTCTATCCTTTTGCATGCACCTACAAAAGACGTCCACGTCTTTATGGAAATTTATCTCCCAAGGATTCCTTCGTAAGAAATAACAACAAGAAAAGTTACCTTATTTTTGAAGGTCTACCCTACCATAGAGGGTTCCTGTTGTTATATATTTTAATTCATTTTAGTAGTGATTGTATTAAGATATTTTTTGACCTTGTATTTCGGATAAAATAGTATGAGTAATTTTTTCCTTGTATTGTTTTTACATAAAAGGTGTAATTCGTAGTTTAGGGAATATATGTAATTAGTTAAAGTTATGATAGGTTTATTGGGTTTGAATGACCCAAATCTTTTGATGATGACCCATAGGTTTGGACATCCACTTGCTCATGCAAGTCTAAACCAAGCCAATCTAGTCATCCAAGTTGTTAAATAAGTCGCATGACTTTTGATAACAACATCTCAACAACTTGTTAAAAGTAATCATTAATTAGTTTAGTAGTTGCAATGATTAGGTTAGATACTTAGTGTTAACTTAAGCTAATCTAGGTTATTCTTAAACAAGGATTAGTTTAGCTTGCTCTAAAAACTTCTAGACAATTAACTAAACTTTTATCAATTTAACTAGAGTTGGTTAGTTTTAGTACAAGATAGCTAACCATGGTTAGTCTAGCTTGCACCATAAGCCCACTAAACTCTATATATTGTAGTTTTGACCCATTTTGTACAACTCTTGAGTATTATTGGAGTTTGAAGAGTTATTTTCTCTCTATAATTCTCTATCTCAAAAGCTTATATCTTTCTTTAATTTACTTCCATTTCTCTTATCTTCCTAAGAGTATGGTGAGATTTGAAGTGGTTTATCTTCTTCCTTGAAGTGACACCACTTGAAGAGAGTCCTTCACCATTGAAGGTGATTTTAGAGGTTTCCTCCTCCATTAGAGACCTTGGAGAAGCTTGAGAAGTGTCAAGAAGGAAAAGATCTATAAAGAAACTTGAAGGATAGGCTACAACAATCTAGTTCCTCCTAAGGTTTTCCATCACTTCTCTTATTTGAATCATTATTGTTGCACTGTAGAACACATTTCTGAACTACACCTCTATGACACACTTGTCCCACATGTGAAACACTTCTCATTAGGTATCTTGATTAAAAGATAATTATAATTTTTTTGTCAACTTCTTGAACACTTAAGTAGGCATCTATACAATTTAGATACTCAAATTGAAATCTCTATATGGATATGAACATACAATGGTATAATTTGCAAAGATTGTTGTTGGTGAGGTGGAGGTATTTCATTATTGGATTCTTGGTTGATCGGTTGATCCTCGAAAATAGTGATGGTCGTCTAAATCTCAGAAGCAAAAATTTTGGTAGGTTTTTTTTTCTTGAACATTTTGCTCAATGTCATTACCAAGAACAAAAGATTTTACATGGACAAATAAGAGGTAAGGTGAGATCTTCTATTGTTGACATCTTTTCTCCCTAAAAGTTTTCCAATCAAATTCTTTCATGATCTTTGAAAAGAAAAATGACATATGATTACTAAAATGTTAAGTATGTCATGAGTATGCATAATTGAAATACAAAGTTTTGATACTTACTACCAAATTCAACATAACTAGTAGGAATTTCAAGAATGGGTAGTTGAAGAATGACTTTGTAAAGAAGAGAACAAGGTAAACTCAAGAGCTTTTTATTATCTGAAATATTCTAGAAATTTTAAAACTCATCTTTTCTTGAGTTGAATTTATAAGGTTTAAATTGTCAATAAAAGGAAAATCTAGGTTTATTATCGACATCAAAAAATATAATTTTCAAATCTAGATACATATCAGAGTCAAAATTTGAAATAATCAGTTTTAAGGTTCTTGTAGGAATATTTGTACAAATTGAATAATCCCCATGGATTTCCCCTATTAAGTGATATCCAATCAACTTTAGTTTCACACTTAATTTGGTAGAAATACATGAATTTATTTTTAGTAGGTAAGATTTCAAGACAGTGGCATAACTTTTGAAAGGCTTTTATAAGGCCTCAACTATCAGGGTGGAGTTGTAAAGGAGTTAAGTTAAAGGTCCTCAAGATATCACATTCAAGTTTAGAAAAAGGAGAGAAACATGAAAATCAACACTTAGTGCTCAATACATGAAAGTAAGGGCTAGGAATTCCTTATGTGCAAATTGGAAAACAAGTTCACGAGGAAAATAGGGTTTGGCAATAAGAATATATTTGTGGGGAAGAAAACATAAAGAAATTTACTTTTGAAGATATTGAATTAACTATTTAGTATTATAGCAAGAAATATATTTTCTTACTTCTTCCTTGACCCAACCAGAACCATATAAAGAAACATTTTTCCCCTTGGTAGATTTATCTTGTTTAGATTTTTTTCCTTTACTTGTTTACTTTCATAAATGAAAATTTTTTCTTCTTCTTTTTGGGTGAAAGAGGAGACAAACATATCACATACAAAAGAGGTCACCTTTTGAGGAAGTTCTAAATGAGGAATGGAAGGGAAAGTAAGAAGATTAGTAGGCGTGGTGGATTGAAAAAAATAACTATTAACTATAATGGGTGGAGGAATAACAGGTGAAATGGAAGAGTTAATCACCTCAGTTTTCTTATAATACATTAATTATTCAAAAGAGTCTATGGAAGAAGACAAAGAGGGTTCTTTTAGAAGTAATTTTGGAAGAAGACAAAGAGGGATCTTTATCACTTATATCAACAACCTCGCCAAAAAGCAAAGGTTGGGGATTTGATCCATCAAAGTTAGAAGACTTATGATACTCATAATCCTAACCCATAAAATAATAAAAAGAGGATAGAAGAAAGAGTTACCTTGGAACAGGGAAATTTTTGGAAAAACTTTAGAGCTTTTAGAGAATGAAGACATAAATAAATGAGAAGAATATTTTATGGTAATGGTAGAATACGAGAGGAACAATACATGTGAAAATTTATATAGTAACCAAGAGGTCAGGGTTAGGGAGAATGAAGAGTTTCACTTTAAGTGAAGGGAAACAACCTTAGGGTATAGAAATGTCATATATGAAAAGATGTATTTGAACATTTTTTTAGAATATTTATGAAAAACTAAATGACATATCACTTAAGAGAGATAAATGAAATAATATATGGCCCTTCATAATCTCTATTTATTATTACTAAAATTCAAATAATGCAAATGATATAGGTGGGTATAAGGATATCTAAAATTAGAATTGATTGTAAGAAGGTAATAGGCACTAATAAATGGCACGAAATTTCAAGTATTCTTTTTTACAATAATTTTTTATATTTAATTTTTATCACATAACTTTATTCTAGTCTCTTAACTATTTTTAAAGCTCAAGATAGGGATTTTATGTATAGTCAACTGAGTATTAAAGATAATAACTCGAATAACCTAAGTTATAACTCAAGTTTGAGATAGATAAGTATTATAATTAAGTTTTATTATATTATAGTTTAGGATGACTGAGTATTATTAATATCTCAATCTAATTGGACATGATTGATAAAGCTCAAAAAAGATGGTTATTATACACTACATGGCACGAAAACTTATCAAACATGGAGCTAACTATTTAGTCTTAAATAGAGAATTATAAAAAAAATAAAAACTAACTTCATTGTCAGAGTATGTTTTGCAAGTAAACACCAATTGGAGACCAGATAAATATCATAATTAAATTAGAGAGAAATAAATGTTAGAAAAGATGGCCTAACTAAGAGGGGGTGAATTGGTTAATTAAAATTTCATGCATAGTTATTTTGATTTTGATTAACTTTTCTAAAATTTTCCAAAGAAATGTGTTGATCTATAACTTGTATATAAGATACTTAGTTCAGATTAAATTCAAGTCTAAATTCACTTAATTCGTAATATAATGTACATATTTCACAACACATAACAACAAACATGAAAATAGAAATGTAAGAATGTAAAGTCAAGTATAAGGAGAGAGAAAACTGAACAACTAATTGATATTGGTTCAACTACATCCACTTGTAACCTACATTCAATCTCCAATCAACTCAATTGAGATTTTCCAATAATCTTTAATATCATAAGTTTTATAATCACACTACCACATGTAATACACTTCTACAACATTAAAGGAACCACTTCTTGAACCCCAAGAAAAACCTACTTGTAGCCCCCCACTAAAACATTCTCCTTTCTTAAGAAACCTACTTAAGAAAACAATCAATATAGAGGTTTATGGAACGAATTCACCTAATGTATAAAACAAATCAAAGAAGGTGAATCAACCATGTAGCTTAACCTTTCACTCCATGAAGATTATGATCAATGCAATTGTTGAAAACTTTCTTAAGATTACCACAAAGGTTAAAGAACCTCTTATTGTAAAGATAAATGTATTTCAAAGAGTGTTTTCATAAAAGATATTACAAAGATTCAAAATTCTCTCTATTCAAGGTGTGAAAAATGATACATATATATATATATATATATATAAGTTTTTTTGCTGAAATAATCAATTATTTACATGGATAATCGATTATTTTGAGCAATAATCAATTATTCCACAACCTTGTTTATGAAATAACCGATTATTGCTCAAAATAATCAATTATTACAACAACTGCTCCTTAGGTAATTGAAAAACAGATCAAATAATTGATTATTACTCGAAATAATCGATTAGTATAAGTGAAAACTTAATATCTCGATTTTTCATACCATTTCTCTTTGCAAATCAATTTCAACTTATATATATGTCATCATTCATCATTTAGCTAGACATAAAATGTTAAGTTACTTACCAAGCACAAAACACATAAGTAACAAAGGTCAAAATCACACAAAACAAGATACAACTTGCACTTTTATCTTTCAAGAGGTTTATTTGTAATCATCAAAACCAACTAGCTAGGATCATGTCTTCATCTTGAGCTTGATCAACAAACTCCCCCCTTTTGATAATGAAAACTCTTCCTTTCACTTGTTTTGATTTATCCAATTATACTCTTGTTTTTGTACTCTATCTTTCTTTTAAACCAAAATTCATACTCTTTATATATTCTTGTTGCTTCAATACTTTGTATACTCAACCTGCAAAAAAATTATACCGTTCTCCCTTTTGGACATCATTAAAAACAAATCTATACCAAGTTTAAAAGTTCAAAAATTGAAGAGAAATCTTATACATTACTAATTATACTCAATATCAATCACTTGTATTATTCATTCAATAAGAAGTCCATATGTAAACCATACAAGTAGTGTAAATTATGAAAATTTTCAACACCAAAATGTTAGAAGACATTACCAATCAGTTTTAAAAACCATACTTAAATATACCATATTTAAATTTAAGCATTTAACAACAATATAACCAAATTGTTCAGAAATTTAAAAAGATTACAGACCATAATGTAACACCCCGATTTTCACATATTATATGAAAGCTCAAAGCCCAATAAGGGTGATTTAGTAGCCTAGAATGAGTCGTTCCCAAACTAGAATGAGCAGTTCCAAACTACTAAAAATGCTTATAAACCCTAGATTGGAACGGGTTGTTCCCAAAATGGAACAGGCCGTTCCAAACATGGTCGTTATGAGTTAAAAAGCAACCCCAGAATGGGCCATTTTGGTTTAAGAGCAGGCCGTTCTATATGCGAATTTAACACATGACGAATGAATCTAGAACGGGCCGTTCTAGCCACTTCTGATGTTTATAAATAACATACTCAGGCACTGCTCCTGGACATGCTCTTTGAAGACCAAGGAGAACCAAGAGAAGGAGATCAACCAAATTCTGCTCTAGCTTCATCTTTTCCTTATTTAGGTAAAGGGGGAGTGAGAAACCTCGCTCGAGGGTGTGGGTATAATTGTTGGGTAGCAGGATTGGTCCTCAATCTCTTGCCTGATGCATGCTTCTAGAACAGACAAAATATGAAAGTTTTCTATTTTGCTTTTTGATTGTTCTGTTGTGTTCCTTGATGTTTTCTAAGTGTGAATATGTGTTTAATTTCAAAAATAGACAAGTTTTGATATGAATTAGAGTGCTTTGTGAATTCTTGTAGGAAACACTATGAAGTAAAATTATGGATATAATCTTTGGATGAATTTTGAGGCATTATCACTACAAAAACTTATGTAGTTAGTGGGGTTTTTTTCTGGCGATTTCAAAAAATCGCCACAAAATATTTAATTTCTGGCAATTATTTTAACCGTCACAAAAGAATAATAGTTTTAGCGGTTTAAAACCGCCACAATATTTAAATACCTATTTCACATGCAACTAACTTAATTACAATATTTATTATTATTCCTATTATTACTATTATTATTTTTAAATAAATACAAATTTAAACACACTCTTCTCTTTTCTCTCAAACTTAATTACAATATTTATTATTATTATTATTTGACGTTGAAGCAGCAAAGTCGCCTCTCTCTCTTCCACCACCAACCCCTTCTTCCTCTTTCTCTAATTGGAGGCTCAATCACTGGAATCTCCAAACACCTTCCTCTTCTAACCATCGCCGTGTTCTCTATCACTGCTTTGACTCGTGGCACCCCGCACTCCCACTCTCACGCGCTGCAAATTCGCCAACGTCTCCGTCGCTTAAACCAAATTCGACAAACAATTCGCGCCCACGCCGTCTCAGTTTCTCCGCCACCCGCTCGCGGTGGTCGCATTGATCCCCAAAGACGCCGACCTGTTCCTCGCCGACACCGCCGCCAAAAACGTCACCGCCCCCTCGACTGCATCAAGCTACTCATGCATGTGTGCTCTCGTTTTGTTTCGTTTCGTTTCGTTTTCGGTGTTGCCGTTTCTTGTTGTTGTTGTTATTATTAATACTATTGTGAAGACTTAAAGTTTGGTGAAAACGACATTGCGTATTTGCAGACTCACGACGTGCTAGTTGGGCAAGAAAGTGCGAAGAAGGCGATTGGTCTCATTGAGGCATGATTGAGTAATGGCAACTTCTTTTGCTTTGTTTGCTTCTGTTTAATTTATGTCGCTATGGTTGAATTCTATAATGCGTGTGTATTTGTTATATAATTTAAAATTACGTCTAGGTTCATCGTGTATCATATTTTGATTTTATATATTGGTGCATCTCTTGTTATGGAGAATGGGGCCAGGTCTCATTTTGAAGAAAAACAAATATAGTATTGATTATTTTGGTGGTCATTTAGTTATTATTTTCTGAAAAAGTAATAACACAACAATGAAATGTTGTTCTCGTGCAAATTAGAAAACATGAAATGAAATGAAAATGAAATTGATAACTGAATGTAACCTATGTTTATTTTGTTTCCTATCTTTTGAGATTTGTATAGGAAATTTGAGAGTAGAGTGTGGAGTAGCTGGCTTATTCTTGACCACTATTGATAAAATATTGTATGTGTTAATAATTTGTGGAAGTTCACTGTTGGAAGTGGGACAGTGTGGTTTTGTGATTGTAGTGTTTTTAAATGCTTAATAAAATCTCTTTGTTTATAAGTGATTTATGGCTTGAATCTCGAATGACAGATGATTAATAAACCAACTAATAACACATTTCAGGCATTGACAGGTCTATTTCATTTCTCACCAAAACTGGCTAGTAGTGGCTGATGGAGTTGGCCAGTGGTCATTTGAAGGTATCCTTTCTACAATATTTGGAAACCCATGAGCATTAATATTTGAGCCAATGACAATGCTGCAGAAGATGGCCGAGGTCTGTGTTATATGTATTTTGCTGCATGTGCTTTTGCTATTACATTGACACCGTATTTAGCAAGTTTTCTTTCTGTGCAATCTCATTGGTTATTAATTTCACAGCTTATAGAGTACTCTTACCTGTTATTAGATATGGCGGATAAGACTGAGGATCCATACATGAGACTAGTATATGCTTGTAAGCATTACTTTCATTAATTCTCCCTTTCTTATTTGTGCCTATATATAGAAAATGCATGGTATATGACCTTACAATTGATTTTTGCAGCATCATTCTTTATATCTATCTACTATCCCTAACAACGAACGTGGAAGCCATTCAATCCAATTCTTGTCATAAATTATATTTTATACCAAGTTTTTCAGACCATAAAAGCACCTAAATGTTAATTAATTTCTCTTTGTTTAGGATGATATAAAAATACAATCATACTATAATAGTCAACAGGGCCTTTGTTAATCAATTATCGGAATATTATTCTAGATAGTTTTGAAAGAGTCTGTCAATAAAAAGTTTTTAACTATCCTAGACAAATGCTAATTTTCTTCTTTAGCTGAATAATTGACAAACTGAAATGTAGTGGATCAATTTTTTAGGTAATTGATGGTCCGAGAGATATTGATGCAATTTTAGTGAACTGCTTCTAAAATTGAATAAACAAATGAAAATGACTTTAAGCCACTTGGCATTATAAGAAGTGATTCATAATTATGACAATCTGAGATAGACTAATTTGAGTTTTTGGTACCAGATATATTGATATTGATGCAGTTTTAGTGAATTGTTTCTGAAAATGAAAAAAGAAAGAAAAGTGGCTTTTAAGCACAAAGTATACTGAGAAAGGACGCTTTTAACTATCAAAATCTAAACAAATGAAGTTTTCTAGCTCCCGGATATATTTGTAAGTTGTAACATATTATTGATTCTGATTTAATTATCATAGGAAAGTTGAAACTTATTCAGTAATAGGAAAATCTGAATCTTATTAGGATTTTATTTAGGCTTGGTTACCTCACTGTTGAAGTATAAATACCTTTTTGGTAACTTTATAATACATGTTTTTTTTGGGGCCTCCGGTTCCCCAATTTTTTTGTTATGTGTTGGCCAATGTGCTACTTTTAAGCAATTTATATAATTAGTATAATTAGTGATAATTTTAAGCAATAATTTGATAAATACCTATAACATATAGATTATCGTTTCACAATTTATAATAATAAAAATAATTTTAAATCTATTTTTTAAAATAATAAAAATGCATCAATATAATGTAGAATAAAGTGCATTAGTTGACAGTTTAAAACTGTCAAAAAATGTGAAAAAAGCAAAAAAAATGTATTTTTTAACGATTTAAAACTGTGGAAAGTGTAAATAAGTAAAAAAAAAATGCAATTTTTTGGCGGTTTAAAATCGCCAAAAATGTTGAATCAAGTAAAATTTAGATGAATTTTGTGGTGGTTTTAAACTACCAGAAATCTAAAAGAAGTAACATTAAAATGCATTTTGTGGCGATTTTCAAACCGCCACAAAGTAATTAAATTTTCTGGCGTCCAAAATCAGCGTTTACAAAATATACGCCGCAAACCGTTTTTGGCGATTGTGGATCCGACAGTTATTACTTATTAATGACGCTGGTAATGCCATTTGTGGTGGTTTTTAACCACCAGAAACTGTCAAAATAATCGCCAGAAATCGCACATGTTTTTTTGTAGTGTATAATTGATGATGGATTCATGTTTTGGATAATTTTTGGGTATGGTTATGTGCTATTTTGTATATGACTGTGAGAAGTTCCTTGTATGAGACTATGAATATGACATGAAAATGTGAAAAGTGAACATATGATTTGTGATATGATATTATGAGATAATGTGACATGAGATATGATGAGACGTGATAAGTGACATGTTGAGTCAATGAAATAGTAAATGTGTGACATGCATCATGTACATGTATGACTCCAGGTGTGTCGCTTAGGCCGCATGCCAGTGATGTATTGAGCTATTTTAGGTGTACCACTACAAGAAAAAGTCAAATTTCCCACGGATTATTTCCCACAGACCAAAATCCGTCGGAAATTTCCCACGGATTTAGATCCGTGGGACGGAATTTCCCACGGATTTTTACATGAAGGAATTTCCGACGGAATTTCCGACGGATTTAAATCCGTGGGAAATTTCCGACGGAATTTCCCACGGATTTAAATCCGTGGGAAATTTCTGACGGAATTTCCCACGGATTTATATCCGTCTGAAATTTCTGACGGAATTTCCCATGGATTTCAATCCGTCTAAAATTTTTGACGAAGTTTCCCACGGATTAAAATCCGTCTGAAATTTCTGACGGAATTTCCCACGGATATATATCCGTCTGAAATTTTCGACGGAATTTCCCACGGATATATATCCGTCTGAAATTTTCGACGGAATTTCCCACGGATATATATCCGTCTGAAATTTTCGACGGAATTTCCCACGGATATATATCCGTCTGAAATTTTCGACGGAATTTCCCACGGATATATATCCGTCTGAAATTTTCGACGGAATTTCCCACGGATATATATCCGTCTGAAATTTTCGACGGAATTTCCCACGGATATATATCCGTCTGAAATTTTCGACGGAATTTCCCACGGATATATATCCGTCTGAAATTTTCGACGGAATTTCCCACGGATATATATCCGTCTGAAATTTTCGACGGAATTTCCCACGGATATATATCCGTCTGAAATTTTCGACGGAATTTCCCACGGATATATATCCGTCTGAAATTTTCGACGGAATTTCCCACGGATATATATCCGTCTGAAATTTTCGACGGAATTTCCCACGGATATATATCCGTCTGAAATTTTCGACGGAATTTCCCACGGATATATATCCGTCTGAAATTTTCGACGGAATTTCCCACGGATATATATCCGTCTGAAATTTTCGACGGAATTTCCCACGGATATATATCCGTCTGAAATTTTCGACGGAATTTCCCACGGATATATATCCGTCTGAAATTTTCGACGGAATTTCCCACGGATATATATCCGTCTGAAATTTTCGACGGAATTTCCCACGGATATATATCCGTCTGAAATTTTCGACGGAATTTCCCACGGATATATATCCGTCTGAAATTTTCGACGGAATTTCCCACGGATATATATCCGTCTGAAATTTTCGACGGAATTTCCCACGGATATATATCCGTCTGAAATTTTCGACGGAATTTCCCACGGATATATATCCGTCTGAAATTTTCGACGGAATTTCCCACGGATATATATCCGTCTGAAATTTTCGACGGAATTTCCCACGGATATATATCCGTCTGAAATTTTCGACGGAATTTCCCACGGATATATATCCGTCTGAAATTTTCGACGGAATTTCCCACGGATATATATCCGTCTGAAATTTTCGACGGAATTTCCCACGGATATATATCCGTCTGAAATTTTCGACGGAATTTCCCACGGATATATATCCGTCTGAAATTTTCGACGGAATTTCCCACGGATATATATCCGTCTGAAATTTTCGACGGAATTTCCCACGGATATATATCCGTCTGAAATTTTCGACGGAATTTCCCACGGATATATATCCGTCTGAAATTTTCGACGGAATTTCCCACGGATATATATCCGTCTGAAATTTTCGACGGAATTTCCCACGGATATATATCCGTCTGAAATTTTCGACGGAATTTCCCACGGATATATATCCGTCTGAAATTTTCGACGGAATTTCCCACGGATATATATCCGTCTGAAATTTTCGACGGAATTTCCCACGGATATATATCCGTCTGAAATTTTCGACGGAATTTCCCACGGATATATATCCGTCTGAAATTTTCGACGGAATTTCCCACGGATATATATCCGTCTGAAATTTTCGACGGAATTTCCCACGGATATATATCCGTCTGAAATTTTCGACGGAATTTCCCACGGATATATATCCGTCTGAAATTTTCGACGGAATTTCCCACGGATATATATCCGTCTGAAATTTTCGACGGAATTTCCCACGGATATATATCCGTCTGAAATTTTCGACGGAATTTCCCACGGATATATATCCGTCTGAAATTTTCGACGGAATTTCCCACGGATATATATCCGTCTGAAATTTTCGACGGAATTTCCCACGGATATATATCCGTCTGAAATTTTCGACGGAATTTCCCACGGATATATATCCGTCTGAAATTTTCGACGGAATTTCCCACGGATATATATCCGTCTGAAATTTTCGACGGAATTTCCCACGGATATATATCCGTCTGAAATTTTCGACGGAATTTCCCACGGATATATATCCGTCTGAAATTTTCGACGGAATTTCCCACGGATATATATCCGTCTGAAATTTTCGACGGAATTTCCCACGGATATATATCCGTCTGAAATTTTCGACGGAATTTCCCACGGATATATATCCGTCTGAAATTTTCGACGGAATTTCCCACGGATATATATCCGTCTGAAATTTTCGACGGAATTTCCCACGGATATATATCCGTCTGAAATTTTCGACGGAATTTCCCACGGATATATATCCGTCTGAAATTTTCGACGGAATTTCCCACGGATATATATCCGTCTGAAATTTTCGACGGAATTTCCCACGGATATATATCCGTCTGAAATTTTCGACGGAATTTCCCACGGATATATATCCGTCTGAAATTTTCGACGGAATTTCCCACGGATATATATCCGTCTGAAATTTTCGACGGAATTTCCCACGGATATATATCCGTCTGAAATTTTCGACGGAATTTCCCACGGATATATATCCGTCTGAAATTTTCGACGGAATTTCCCACGGATATATATCCGTCTGAAATTTTCGACGGAATTTCCCACGGATATATATCCGTCTGAAATTTTCGACGGAATTTCCCACGGATATATATCCGTCTGAAATTTTCGACGGAATTTCCCACGGATATATATCCGTCTGAAATTTTCGACGGAATTTCCCACGGATATATATCCGTCTGAAATTTTCGACGGAATTTCCCACGGATATATATCCGTCTGAAATTTTCGACGGAATTTCCCACGGATATATATCCGTCTGAAATTTTCGACGGAATTTCCCACGGATATATATCCGTCTGAAATTTTCGACGGAATTTCCCACGGATATATATCCGTCTGAAATTTTCGACGGAATTTCCCACGGATATATATCCGTCTGAAATTTTCGACGGAATTTCCCACGGATATATATCCGTCTGAAATTTTCGACGGAATTTCCCACGGATATATATCCGTCTGAAATTTTCGACGGAATTTCCCACGGATATATATCCGTCTGAAATTTTCGACGGAATTTCCCACGGATATATATCCGTCTGAAATTTTCGACGGAATTTCCCACGGATATATATCCGTCTGAAATTTTCGACGGAATTTCCCACGGATATA